AAAGGACATCTTTTTTAATGGTGTTAGTTCTAGGTGGTCTTGTTGGTCTTCATAGAACTGTTTGACTTCCGTTTCTTCGTCATTAGTGGTTGGGGGCATAGACTTGGATTGCTGTGATGCTAAATGACTGTAGATCATATTAATTAAAATGAGGCTGTTAGATTGTGACCTAATCTAATCTGGTGTCCTTATAAGTAAATTTGGATACATCAAGAGACACCAGTGATGTAAATGCACAGAGACTATGGGTGAAGACATAGTGAGAGGGTAACAGGCAGGAAGGCCAGGGGGTCTCCAAATTGAGGAAAGAGGCTACAAGTGCCAGACATTTTTATCTCTCTTAAGCGGCAGGAAGAAACAAACCAGCGATACGGTTTTCCTTCTCTACACAAATTTAAAAGGAGGTTTCTCTTAAAATGCTGTGTTGCCATGACACCTGGTCTCACCTGAAGCTAACTACTCTCAAACCTTGAGTTAACCAATACATTTCTTTTTCTTATGGAAATGTTGTCTTAAGCTATGTTAATGTACCCCAGACTCTATCTTCTAGTTGGTTCCGCCAAACGGCTTAATTTACTCAGGTATTGTTCCCCTAATCTATGTAAACGAAACTATTTGTTGGTATTCTGCCCTTCTACAAGATTCAAGTCAATCGTTTTATGGCCAGGGATGAATTATCTGGTGCGATTCTAAATTTTATGACATTCCTTTCTTTTCATTAGCAGACTGTGAGTGACTATATAACATACAGCTAAAGACTAGGAGGGGGGTACTCTTGCCCCTTTCTGATGCCTGTGTCAGAAGCTTTCTCTATCTCCTTTATATCTTAATAAAACTTTATTACACAAAAGCTCTGAGTGATCCAACCTCATCTCTGGCCCCGGATTGAATTCATCTCCTCTGGAGGCCAAGAATCCCGGCGTCTTATTGTTCAGCAACAACCTTTCATCTTCGGGGCTCGTCCGGGATCCTTCAGGACAAGGTGAGGATGCTTTGAGCTCTAGTTCTTTGTTCTTCTAGCGAACACGTTTTCTGCTGTACTTTACTAACTATGGTGTGCTTCTGTGAATGAATGAAACGCCCTGCGCAAAGCAAGTGAGGAGCCCTGCTCTGTGGTTCCACGACGACCTCATAAGGCTTATGGCAGAAACCTGTCGGGGGTTTATACCGACCTGCCAATGCCAAGAGGCAACCAATGTCTCCTTCGGGAACCGACCAGAAATGGGCAAAGGGTGTGGACCGAACTCTCCTTTCTCGGTCAAACTTTTCGGTCTCTTTGACCATTTCATAACTCCTTGGGAATTAAAAGTACTAACCTNGCGTCTTATCGTTCAGCAACCACCTTTCAATAGCAAGAAGACAACTAACTAGAAGTTAAGGAGAGGCCTCAGAAGAAATCAAGCCTGCTGACACTTTGACCATGAAATTCCAGACTCCAGAATTGTCAAGGAAATAAATTTGGTATTCAAGCCACTCAATCCGTGGTATTTTGTTGTGAAAGTACTGGCAAACTAATATAGACATATAACTCACACAAAATTTTCGTTATTTATGTTCCTACCAATTTATACATTCTCTCTTCTATGGAAATTGGTTGCTTTAAAATTTCTATTTCACATTAAATCAATTTGATAAATTACATATTCTTGAAATTGACATTTTGAAAATGTCAAATTTATTTCTATAAACTCATGCAAAGTATTCTCATTACTTAAAATTTCTGCTTTTTCAATTATTTTTCCTGAACAGTTCTCATTTTGTACATGTTTTAATATTTTTAAAAAGGTTAGCTAAACTTTTACACATTTTACTAATTTCTCCCCACAGCATCAGCTAATTGTCTTATTTGTTCTATTCTTCTATTTTCTTCTTTTATCTTACTTGAAATAGTTCAGTATGATGAACTGATTGATAACTGTATACACTTATCATACCATCTACTTCAAGATGGAGAATGTTTGCATCATCCCCAGTAAATTTAGTTTACTAGGATTGCCATAACAAAATATCACAGACTAGACAGCTTCAACAAATTTATTTTTTCATAGTTATGGACACTAGCGTGTGAGACCAAGGTGTTGGTAGGGCTGGTTTCTCCCAAGACCTCTCTCTTTGGCTTCTGGATGGCCATATTCCCCCTGTGCCATCCTATGGCCTTCCCTCTGTATGTCTTTGTTCTAATTCCTTCTTATAAAAATGTTAGTCATATTGGATTAGGCACACCCTAATGACCTTATTTAATTATCTACTTAAAGACATTCTCTATAGTCTGATTATCAGGTCCTAGGACTTCAAAGTTAAAAACAGAAATTTTGGAGGGACACAATCTATAACAATCTCCTAAACCTCTTTCTAGTAAATTTTTCCCGTAAGGATCACTTTCTGACTTCTATTTACCATAATTTCACCTACTATTTTGCTTCAAATAAATAGAATTATACATATTTGTATCTGTGTGTAGTTTCTTTTTCTCCATACAATACTTTTGTGATTCATACATGTCATTGTACATATCTGTAGCTTGTCTCTTTTTACTGCCAAGCAGTATGCCATTGCATAAATACACCTCAACTTATTTATCCATTTTCTTACTGATGGTCATTAAGTCATTATTGTCACTCTTTAATTATTGATTGGTGGGAAGATCCTTGTTAGTTTTCTTGTGAACATGTTTTCATTTAAGTAAATTCCTATGAAAGGATTTTTCAGGGTCACTAAGTAGATTTAAGTTGAACTTTAAGAGAAACTACCAAAGCATTCTCCCAGTTGGTTTACCAGCAAGACAAGAGGTCTAGTTTCTCATAGTCTTACCAAGATATGGTGTTGTCAGTCTTTTTTATTGTAACCATACTAGTGGGTCTGTAGCAGTTATGACATTTATTTCCATTACTCTGATGTGTGCATCCTTTTCTTGTGTATGCATGTCCTTTATTTCATGAAGTATCTTTCTGTCCTTTGCACATTTACAAAAAATTGAACATGCACTTTTTATGTTCTTTATATATTCTGCGTACAAGTTCTTTGTAAATTGTAAATATTGTGAATATGTTCACCCAATTTGTGGTTTGCCTCTTCAGATTCTAAGTGGTATCTTTTAAAAATATTTATTTTTGGCTGAATCTGGTCTTCATTGCAATATGTGGGATCTTTTGTTGTAGTGGGTGGGCTCTGCTGTGGTGTGCGGGCTCCAGAATGCTTGGGGTCTGTAGTTTCTGGCGTGTGGACTCTCTAGTTGAGGTGCCTGGGCTTACTGACTGTGATGCATGGGCTCAGTTGCCCTGCAGCCAGTGTGATCTTAGTTCCCTGACCCAGAACCGAACTCTCATCCTCTGCATTGGAAGGCAGGTTCTTAACCACTTGACCACCAGGGAAGTCCTCAGGGGGTATCTTTTGATAAATAGAAATCTTAAATTTTGAAAAAATCCTTCATATAATTTTCTTCTGTGTTGCTAAGAAAGCTTTGCCTCCCCTGATGTCACAAAGATAGTTTCCTAAATTATCATCTAGAAGCTATACAGTTTGGGTTCTTTCTTGCAGGCCTGAGATAAACCTTGATATGTCTGTACAGGACCAAGGAAAATGTTGCAGCTCACTTCTCCACTTGGATATTCTGGTGTAACAGCATCAGTTGCTGAAGACTTTGTTCTCATTACATTTTCTGGGACTCTGTTTGAAAATAAACACTATGTTATGTATGGTCTATTTTAGGATGCTATCCCATTTCACTGGTGTATTTGTCTATCTTTATGTCAATAACTACATTGTTTTATTTAACATTATAATACATTTTGAAACCAGACAGCCTAAGACATACAATCTTTTCAAGATTGTTTTGACTATTTTAGATGTTGTGAACTTCCAAATTTTACAATCACCTTGTCAATTTCATCATAACTTATTACATCTGAAATATCCTATTTCCAAATAAGGTCATATTCTCAAGTTCTGGATGGACATGACTTTGCGGGGAATACCATTCAATACAGTGTATCAGTTGGCCTAGGTGTTTATCAATTTTATAATTTCCGAAGTCTCACTTTTGATTTTGTTGATTTTCTGTTAATTTCCATTAACTTTGCAAATGTCCTCAGTCAATACCTTTCAAACATTTCTTCAGTACCATTTTTATCTTCTTCTGAAACCCAATTATAAGATCATTTTATTTTGCCTTCAAAACTCATTCTTTTTATTTTTGCTTTATTCTTTGGTTTCCAGCTTTTATACTTTCAATTGCCCTATCTTTAAGTTTACCAATCCTTTCCTCTGCAGAGTCATATCATATTCTAGAATTATTTTGCTTTCCAAAATGACCGTTTCTCTGCTGAAATCCCCCCTTTTCGTGCATGTTTTCTACTTTTTTTACTAGCTCCTTCAGCACTTTTATCATAGTTATCTCCCTGATAACTGCAACATCTGAGCAATCTCTGAGTTTGCTTCTATTGACAATTTCCTGTCTGTATCAAATTTTTCTGTGCCTTTGCATGATTTTATAACTTCTGATTATATACTGTATATAGTCTATAAAAGAACAGTAGGTATTCAAAATGGCAATTGCCTCCCAAAAGGGGAATGCCTATTTTGTCAAGTATATAGAATGGAAGGTTAGTTAATATGATTTATAGTTGAGGTAGAGATGAGCTTTGTCACTGCTAGTTTGATTCACTTGACTCTACTGGAATCTTTGTGCTTTTCATTTGAGCTGCCAGTTATCCAAATATGGGGAATTTCTCTCTGCCCTACATTCCAACTGTGTATTTTAGAATTTCTGAGGCATTCTCTTTATATTCTGTCCGAACCTTCTGAGTAGGTGAACTCTCAGGTAAACTGTATTTCAAATCACCATGCCTTGTGGAGGATACAACTGTTTACATTGCTAAGACCAATAATGCCTCAGAAAGACTGTTCCTTTGTCTTGGATCTATTCTACATTCTTACCTTTCTAATAAATACACTGTTTTAAAAACCAGCACTCTGGCTGGTTGAAAAAAAGACAATATTAGGGACAGTAATCCAACATTTATTCAACTTCATTTCATGGCAAGTCTGTACAGAACACTGCTCAAGAAAAGTTGTCTTTCTCTTTCATAAATCCACCGAGTACAGCATGACACTATTCTAGAAATAGATAATCTTGGTAAGTAGGATAATTAAAAAGAGTTCTTACATTATATTAGATCTCTAGGTTGGTATTCTAAAATCTGATTAAAAGAGAACTAGTTCAGGCTCCTACATGTTAGTCTGCCATCTCCTCAAACCCTGTTCTTATCAATAAACAACTGATATAAGGAGAAAAAAATGGGAAACAGCATTCTTGTTTTTCAAAATCATAATGCTGAAATAGGAGACACGTCCATTTCATTTACATTTCATGACTAAAATTCATTCTTCTGCCTATACTTAACTAAAAGGGAAATGTCTTGCTGTGTCTTAAGAACACAGGAAATAGCATTTGTTGATTTTGTCAGCTTAACCTCCTATTCTCAAAAGTCTACATTCAAAACAAAATTAATTAAATTGAACTACCTTACCCATTCATCCAAGCTATTAATAGTACTATCTGACAGTGCTGGCAAAGCACACTTTGAGGGAGGGTATGGTTAGCTTCCATTACTTCAGGCTTAAGATAAGGGATGAAGGCACATTCAAAAATTTCTATTTATAATCTCTTTTTAAACTTATTCATATTTTAAGCCTATGTTATTTCTAAGGGTAAAAGTTAAATAATGAAATTAAAATACTATTCAAGTAATATTTTTTGTTTTTAAAATAATTTAAAGTTGTTAATACATCTCTAAGTTCTAATATAGAAGCACAAGGCCATGTTCTTCCCTGTGCCATCTTCCCCCCACATAAACTATAATTTTATGAACTTTGATTTTATCTGTTTCCTTCTTACCATACTGTGGTCCTTCACAACTTGGATTATAGCTTCCTTGAGGGACAGGAGTTAGGATTAGATACTGTTTCACAGATGTGGTTGCACATGATGAAAATCATGATTTTCAGAGGCATGAAAAAGATATTTTATGGTTTGTACTGAAAATTTTTTTCTAGTGATGTCAGATTTCAATTGGTGTTTACTGAAATGTTTCCCATGTTCACTGTTGCTTTATATAGCTAAACAGTATTGTATTCCATTTTCTATCTTTTAAGTCCAGGAGTCTTCAGAAACATTTACCTTTTTATAACCAGCAACCTTTTCATAATTGAGATCTATGGTTCTACCATATAACCATCTTCCCTTAATTGCTCCCTCTTACACTTTAAACTTTTCCTTACCATCTTTTATTCTGGCTATGGACCCACTTCTTCTAAAAAGAAAAACCTTGTTAATCTTCTTCAGAGATTCTTTTGCAAATCAGTTGATCACTGGGCACCTTCCAAATGAGTGTTTTCTTCTTCTGAATTTTATCTGGGATCTGTAAACCATTCTTTATCCACACAGATAAGGATTCAAGTAGAAGTGCTCCAATTACTTGCATGTCCAGAAGGAAAGAAAATTATTTTGGTGGGTGCATGTATCATAATTATTCTGCACCTAGTTTTTTCTGGATTGCTGTTTCTATCCTTTAGAATTGGGGTTCTACAAAGATCACATCCCATTAAACAATGTCCAACATCTGTTCAAGGTTTCTTTTTCAAATAATTATAATTTGCTATAAATGAAATTTTAAGAAATTCCTGAGTGCAGTTTGAGGTGACTTTTATTTTATATAATTATACTTGCTGTTATTCACAAACTTCTCAGCCTTGTGTAGGAACATTAACCACTGTTTTATACAAAACGCAACTGGAGTACATTTACCTACAGCTATTTTTCTCATTCATTAGTAATTAAAATTTCACATCAGAGACTAAGCTTCATGAAACAAGTGCGAGCAAGCATGTGTGACAGACCATTTAGTATAGTATCTGGCCTTGTGGCAGGAATCAAATCAATATTAATAGAATATCCTGTGCAAAGCTTAAGTAATTAAAGTGCTCATGTGATTTCAGGTCTACTTCCCTTTAAAGTTGGATTCCAGAAGAAATAAATTTTATAAAGACTATATGAAATGTAAAACTATTACTTCAGAACCCAATTCAGGAGCTGTTGAGCATTGTGATTATTTGGGGTCCTGAAACATTTCTCTTACATAAGTGCTCCAAACAAAACATGAGTTTTAATGGTTTTAAAAATGTGAAAAGTTGGATTTTGCAGACTGCTTGGAGCACTTCTGGTTGTTTCTCTTTAAAAAAAAAAAAAGAAAAAGTAGAAAAAAATATACAATTTTGTAGTCCTTTGGTTTTACATTCTGGGCTAAAAAAGTATAGGCATAAATGTTTTTACATGATCCTCTTGCAGATGTCCTTTAAAATAACATCATGTCTTAATTCATGTCTCTTGATTATCAAGATTCTTTCATGTCACTGTCAGCCTCGATTAAATGGTTGAAAATTTCAGAGCAGAATAAGTAACTTTCATGAATATCTCCCCAATCCCTGAGAATCATAATCACCAAAGGTATATTTTGTCGTTTCATCATACATCTCTGGAAAGTAGCCATGTTCGTTCATTGTTAACAGGGCAAGGAGCAGTGTCATAAAGAGTTAATCCATGTAAAGTGGCTTCGACCCGTAAAGAAATTTTCTGGAACAGAAAAGAAAATTATATATAGAAGTTTGCTCCTTAAAGACAGATCACATGTTCAATATACTCTGGGAATATCTTGGGATCAGGAATGTAAACCAATTCTAATGAGGAAGAAGAGATGGCTGTTGTACTGCCAAAAGTATCATGTGTAGTACCAACAGAATTGGGAAAAATAAGTTTCTTTCCTCAGAAGTTCCTTGGTTTTCTTTGGTTTCTATGAAGAATCAATAAAACTAAATATTGAGGATGGCCTTTATAAATGTAGCCTGCGTTAATAAAAATTCTCTGAGAGAATATCTGCAAATTTAATTGTTTTATAACCCTATTTTCAAGGCTTAACATTGAGAACAGAACACTATTTCTCAAAGCACAGAAACAAATCACGTTAAAAGTTCCTCTTTGGGCTCCCTGCTTAAGAAGTTAATTTTTGAAAAGGTGAGAGAGTTGCCTATAGAAAGTTTCTTACTCCATCAAAGGAAGTCTGACAGCATGTATCTAATTCTATATTTTCTTACCTGAAAATCACGAATATAAGTCAGGAAAAAACCAAAGAAGGAAAGTGACATAGACCATTCTGCTGCCGTAGTAATCATGTGAAGCACATAACCCTTAAGTGACAACAACAACAAAAAAACAGTTCTGTGAAATTTCACTCATATGACCTCAAATAAAAAACCTGCAATATTTATAAACCAATCAGTATTCTGAAATATCAACCCCTGATTTATTTAACATATCTCTAGAACTAAAGGTGGACATTAGAGACATCCTAAATGATCTATCACATTTTCATTTATAGCAAGTAAAATTTTCATTCAAATAACTAAGAACAGGAGAACTTAACTCTACAACCAAGAAGTCACTGCCTTTTCCAAAGTCATGAGACATTAAATACCACTAAAAAAGTTTAAGTAAACAATGCTCAGGTTAATAGGTGGCTCAGTGGTCAAGAATCCACTTGCAATGCAGAAGATGCAGGTTCAATCCCTGGGGCAGGAAGATCCCCTGGAGAAGGGAATGGCAACCCACTCCAGTATTCTTGCCTGGAAAATCTCATGGACAGAGAAGCCTGGCAGGCTACCGTCGACAGAGTCCCAAAAAGTTGGATATGACTGAGCAACTGAACATGCACACATGCAAAAAATGCTCATGACAAACTTGATACCATATTTTGAGCATTAAAATATGGATTCTGATTAGGAGTATCTAGGAAATTATTTCATTCAATCATTTTCACAATCATGTCCTTTCTAGGGCTGATTCCTATATTTAATTTAAAATAAAATGCCACCTGAGTGGTTTGTGAAAACAGATAAACTCATTCACTGTATTACCCACTCAAGTATATGCCCCACCTCCCTTTTTCTTAGGATCAAAGATACTACCTCCATTCAGATATCCACTATATTGGAATCCAAATGCAGAGTCCATAATAATAAACTTCCAGATAACAAAAAATAGAAGTAATTTTTTTAACTTGAAAACAAGTATTCTATTAAATAATAGATTTTGGATGAGTATGTGTGCATGCTCAGTCACTGAGTCGTGTCCTACCCTGTGCGACCCCGTGGACTTTAGCCTTCTGTCCATGGAATTCTCCAGGCAAGAATACTGGGAGTGGGTTGCCATTCCCTTTTCTAAGTCAGTCGAATGTACTGCATATTATATCTGTATTTAGAGGGATCAGTTTCTGAGTAAACTCTGCCATCACAGCTCTCTTCAGGTCATAAAAACATTCACAGATCACAAAGAGACAAAAGCATATAGATGGGTTCGACACAAACTCTATCATTTATAGAAAATAATAATACATTACTGATTATTCTACTGAAAAAGTTTCATTATTAGTAGTGAAATGAAAAATATATCAAAATCAATCAAAATAGTCACCCTTAACATAAAACTAAGTTTTATAGCCTCTCAGTTCTTACTTTGTCCTCAGGGTTCCAATGGAGTTTCTGTACTATATCAGCACCAAAACTGCCATTGTACAAAAGTGATGAGCAAGTCAGCACTATTAAAAAGAAATAAGTCAAGGAAGAATCTCAAGGAAGACCTGTTAGTTTAAGTTAAATTCAAAATTAAAAACAAATATCTTCAAAGATCTAAAAGGATCACACATATATTTGTTTCCAAGGCCCAAAACCATTTTGTTAAAGACTTCATATTACATGGCATTAGTAAAATTTAAAATGTGCCCAGATTATTATGAAATGCTTTGCAGAGTCAGTCTCTCTTTGCTCAATAAATTCTTAGGTCTATCATAAGCTTTTGCCACACAGTTGTTCTTAAGGGCATCAACTCATCTTTCCTGTCTTTGAAGTGAGTATGATTAGGCTAGACATTATCCTTGCTTCTCATTCAATTACCATGTCCCAAGTAAAAATCTCAATTTCATGATTCAAATTAATTTAGGACTTAGTAAACCAAGAAGCTCACCCACAAAAGGCCTGTTTACAATATGTCAACAATTTTCACTTAAACTTTGTTGTTCAATTCCCTTTCAAGGGTAGCCACATTTTACAGCAAAGGATACTGCTAAATGCACTTACTCCACACCAGATAACCAATGACAGTCTGATCCAGAAGACTTGTTTGCCATGAATTTTGGGCTGCATTTGGTAGGAAAGGATAGTCTGAACAAACATATATAATGAGCCCACACCAAATGTGAGCACAGCTCCACACACATGTACAGCAAAAAAGGTGGTTTTCTGAGAGGTAAAAGGAAGAAATAAGTCAATAAAAGAAACTCCAAAAGCATCACAAACACAATATTTAAAAACACAAGTCCAGCAAATTCAACAGGACATTCACTGAGTAGGAAAGCTATGCAGAGCCTACAGATTATTTCCTGAGATAATTCTCTCTCAGTACTCAGCATAAACCTGAAAATCAGTCATCCAAATTACCTCATATGCCACTAGTGAAAACATGATAGTAATTACTCATTTAATCATGCTTATTTGGGTGCCTCTTATGTGTCAAGCTACTGTTCTAAGCATTCAGATATATGAGTAAACAAATCAGACAAAAATTTGGCCCTCACAGCTTACATTCAAGTGAAGGAACACAAACAATAAAAAATAAACTTTAGAAATAATTCCATATATGTTAAATAATGATATGGGTTCTAGAAAAAGAGTAAAGTAAAGAGAACTAGGATGGTTGGGAATGCAGGAGGCAAGGAGTATCAACTTAAATCTAAATAAAATTTAAATACAATTTAAGGATTCAAGAAATTAAAACATTCTTGTTTCTAGTTTGACTTGTTTTGATAAATTACACAATAAGGGATTAGCTTAAATTGCAAATTTTTTCTCTGTTACCTTACTCTTTGCTTTTGAATTTATTGTTTTCCTTTGCCTTACTCTCATTAATATCCATCTACATTTTACTTTTTACTATATATGCCCCTGTTTAAAAGTGATGACAGTAGTTCCAAAAAAATTCTATTATCAAAGCCTTTGGTTGAAGTATTAGTTGGTGAAAAAGTAATTGTGGTTTTGGACTGTGAATTTTAAATCACTGCAACTAGGCTCAAACACATCTTTATTAATCAAAATAAGAACCATCACAATGACACATTTTTGCCAATGAGAAATAAGTTTGTTTATTCCTGTAGCATAAAATTCCTTGCCTTGAAATTCAATGAACTCTTGGAAAGCATTTTCTGCCTCCTGCTAGTTGTGGAAGCATTTTCCCTGCAAAAAGTTGTCAAGATGCTTGAAGAAGTTGTAGTCAGTTGGCGAGAGGTCAGGTGAATATGGCGGATGAGGCAAAACCTCATGGCTCAATTTGTTCAACTTTTGAAGTATTGGTTGTGCAATGTGCAGTTGGATGCTGTAGTGGAGAAGAACTGGGCCCTATCTGTTGACCAATGCCAGCTGCAGGCATTGCAGTTTTCAGTGCATCTCATCTATTTGCTGAACATACTTCTCAGATGTAATGGTTTCGCTGAGATTCGGAAAACTGTAGAGGATCAGACAGGCACCAAGCAGACCACCAAACAGTGACCATGACCAAGTTTGGCTTTGGGAAGTGCCTCGGGGCTTCCTTTCAGTCTAGCTACTAAGCTGGTCGTTTCCCATTGCTGTATGAAATCCACTTTTCATCGCACATCACAATCCAACAAGAAACTCTAGTTGTTGCATAGAATAAAAGAAGACAACACTTCAAAAGGATGACTTTTTGCAGTCAGCTCATGAGGCACCTACTTATTGAGCTTTTTCACCTTTTCAATTTGCTTCAAATGCTGAATGACCTTAGAATGGTTGACATTGAGTTCTTCGGCAATTTCTCGTGTTGTTGTAAGAGGATCAGCTTCAATAATCCTCTCAACTGGTTGTTGTCAATTTCCAACAGCCAGTCATGGTGCTCCCCATCTTCAAGGCTCTCGTCTCCTTTGCAAAATTTCTTGAACCACCATTGCAATGTATGTTCCTTAGCAGTTCCTGGGTGAAATGCGCTGATGTTGCAAGTTGTCTCCACTGCTTTACGACCCATTTTGAACTTGAATAAGAAAATTGTTCAAATTTGCTTCATCTAACATCATTTCCCTAGTCTAAAATAAATATAAAATAAACAGCAAGTACTAAGTCACTAGCAAAAAAAAAAAAGTGAGAAATGTACATTAAAACAGTGTATAACATAATCACATTTACTTAAGAATGTATTCCAATATCAAACAGCAAAGTTCAACAATGCAAAACCACAATTACTTTTGTAGCAACCTAATACAGTTTTCTAAACTGATGCTGTCTGTGTCACTTGGTTGACAAGATATCACACAGCATGTGGTATGAGGGTATGACTCCCCGGTGTTCACTGCAGCACTATTTTCAATAGCCAGGACATGGGAACAACCTAAATGTCCCCTGACAGATGAATGAATAAAAGGTGACACAAATACACAATGGAATATTACTCAGCCATTCAAAGGAATGAAATAGGGTCATTTGTAGAGACATAGTTGGAACGAGAGTCTGTCATATCGAGTGAAGTAAGTCAGAAAGAGAAAAACAAATATTGTATATTAATACATAATATGTGGAATCTTGAATGGACATGTAGACACAATGGGCAAGAGGAAGGCAGGACAAACTGAGACAAAATGGGACTGACATGTATACGCTAGCATGTGTAAAACAGACAGTTAATGGGAACCTGCTGTGTAGCACCGGGAGCTCAGCTTGGTGCTGTGATGACCTACACGCGAGGGATGCAGGGTGGCAGCGGAAGGAGAGGTGGGAGTGAGGTCCAAGAGAGAGGGGATGTGTTCCCTGGTGGCTTAGATGGTGAAGAACTTACCAGCAATGTGGGAGACCTGCGTTTGATTCCCCGAGTTGGGAAGATGTCCTGGAGAAGGGAATGGCCACCCACTCCCATATTCCTGCCTGGAGAATTCCATGGACACGGGCGCCTGGCGGACTACATACAGTCCATGGGGTCACAAAGAGTGGGACACGACTGAGCGACTACACTTTCGTAGCTAATTCACTTCACTGTACAGCAGAAACTAACACAGCATTGTAAACCAATTACAAGTTTAAAAGTAAAATCTAAATTAAAAGAAAAAAGAGGTTATGACTAAGGTAACAGAAGAGAGATTAGGTTAGGGGTTGGTTCTGTCCTTCTACAATCAACTATGCTAATTCACATACAGTCTACTTTTTTTAGTTGAAGGTGTAAGAAGTCTCAAGTACAAATAAATAAAGATAACAAGTTATTTGGATTCCTTTGGAGAAAATGCTATTTTAATAAGGTTTGGGATGTTTTAACTGGCAGTAAGTTAAGAGCACTGGGAAGGGAAAAAAATCATTGTTACTATCACCTTGGGTCACAAAGAAAAAAAAAATTCAGCACCCATAAAACAATACAAAATGGTAGTATCTTCTTGGTTCATGTGAATTTACCAGTATATATCGATAAAGCCTGCAAAAATGAAATTGACTTAGGGCTAAGAGCAGGATTTTTCTCCTTAAAAATATTCTCACATATATTTGCTGACTGAAAAATATGCACAAGATAAAAGTTGAGTGTGTGCTGTGTTTAGTTGTTCAGTCACGTCCAACTCTTTGTGACCCCGTGGACTGTAGCCCACAAGGCTCCTTGTCCATGGGGATTCTCCAGGAAAGAATACTGGAGTGCCACACCCTCCTCCAGGGTATCTTCCCAACCCAGGGATCGAACCCAGGTCTCCCGCACTGTAGGCAGATTCTTTACCGTCTGAGCCACCTTGAGAGTTATATTTTATTTGGAAGACTTTCTGAAGACTTCAAGACCAACAGGCAGCCTCTCAGATAGCTCTAAGAAACTGTCCTGAAGAGGTAAGGAGTTTTGCAACAAAGATGACTACTATTAATTAAAGAAAACCAGATATCTCAACTTAAGTGTTGTGCTTTTCTATATATGGAAAGATCCAAGAGCCTGGGCTCACTGAAATCATTCCTTTGATAAGCACCTTAGCTATCTAGGTCCAGTGTCCAGTCCCCATCCTGAGACCCCTCAGGGTGCACTGCTGGGCGGTGGCTGCAGTGGCTGCAGGCTTGGCAGCTGGGAGCCCATTTGTCTCCCTCCTGAGTTTTCTCAAGGCTCACTGCTGGGGACAGCTGTAGTGGCTTGATGACTGCGATATCCTTTGTTTACTGACGTGGCAGGCAACATTTTTCATTCACATATTGATGAAACTAAACACAGATATAGTCTGATCAATGCCCACATGTGATCAGCACACAGTTCCATCAACAAAATCCCATGGTTAAAAGAAAAAGAATGGACAGCATTCACTACTATGTTTATAATCAGAATGGAGGTGTATAAAGCTGGTTTTAACTGACAGTACTTCGGCTTAATTCATTTAATTTTGTCATTTAGAGACTAGGGAAATAGCAAAAGATCTTGAAATGGGCAACAGATACCCTTTCAATAGTATGCTAGCGCCTGTGGGAATGATTCTATAGAAACGTTAATTGTACTTGGCTTTGATTAGGCTATTTTGAAGAGAGAACTTGTACAATGATAGACATTATGTATAGATATAAAAGTTAACTTACTGAAAATGCATAGTAACACAAGTAATCAATGTGAATAGAAAGGCATACTGTGTCCTACTGAATGCAACTGACTTTCACTTTGTGAATAATGACCAGTTTTGTTAGTTTAGAATCTGTTTGTAAATTCATTTGAGCATTCCTTTTCTGACTTATAACTGTGTGGTACTTTGACTTCTTTTTGAAGTGGTTTGCAGTAGCCACTATTCCTCTCATTAATTAATAAATTAAATGCAATCTTTGACACATGTACCACAAAAGTCACAATTTTATCTTCTTTAAAAATATATCATTTAGGACTTCCCTGGTGCTCCAGTGGTTAAGAATCTGCTTGCAATGCAAGGGATACTGGTTCAACCCCTGGCCCAGGAAGACCCCACATGCCATGGAGCAACTGATTCTGTGGGCCACAACTGCTTAGCCTATATGCACCCTATTGCCAGTGCTCCACAACGAGAGAAGCCACTGCAATGAGAAGCCTGTGCACTGCAACTAAACAGCAGCCCTAGATCACTGCAAGTAGAGAAAGCCCTCACACAACAACAAAGACCCGGCACAGCCAATAAATAAATAAATCTTTAAAAAAAAGAAAAAAAATATATCATTTAGCAAAGACAAAAACATACTTCTTGACAAAGACAAGAGAAATTATAGAGGTATATGTGTGGTCAGGGGCAAATGTTTGCTACAGAAATTATAAACCATGAATTGAATACCCTGTAATCTTCACCTAAAAGTTTTAATGAAACTTAAAAACTAGTCATGTATGGATGTGAGAGTTGGACTATAAAGAAAGCTGACTGCCAAAGAATTGATACTTTTGAACTGTGGTGTTGGAGAAGACTCTTGAGAGTCCCTTGGACTGAAAAAGAGATCCAACCAGTCCATCCTAAAGGAGATCAGTCCTGACTGTTCATTGGAAGGACTGATGTTGAAGCTGAAACTCTAATACTCTGGCCATCTGATGTGAAGAGCTGACTCATTTGAAAAGACCTTGATGCTGGGAAAGATTGAAGGCAGGAGGGGAAGGAGACGACAGAGGATGAGATAGTTGGATGGCATCACCAACTCAATGGACATGAGTTTGGATAAACTCCAGAAGTTGGTGATGGACAAGGAGGCCTGGCGTGCTGTAGTCCATGGGGTCGCCAAGAGTCGGACACGACTGAGCGACTGAACTGAATGATATTCCTTCCAAAGTCTCCTTGAAAATAAATTTTCTAGGAAGGGAGAATGCCATGTGACAACAGAGGCATAAATTACAGTTACACTACCACAAGCCAAGAAATGCCAAGAATTACTAAAAGCTGAGAGAGAGGCATGGAATAGACTCTCCCTCTGAGCCCCCAAAAGGGAACCAACCCTACTAACACCTTGATTTCAGGTTTCTGGCCTCCTGAACTCTGAGAGAATAAATTTCTCTTATTTTTTAATACCCAGCTTATGGTATTTTGTTATGACAGCTCTAGAAAATCAATATAGATTCCTGCCTAGTTATCCCTTCCAAGTTTCCTTGAGGATAAATTTTTCTAGGGTCAACTAAAGACTGTCACTCGCCATCTGGCCCTACAGGGATTAGCCCTGGTAATCACTGATCTTCAACACACTCTGAACAGAGCTCGGGGCAGAGACCATGAACGAGGCACTCTGTGTGCTGGGAGAAACTGGCAGAACAGGCCTTCAGAGATAATTTTCAAGAGATAATTTTATGAACCCAAATTCTTATATCCTCTCATACTTAGAAAAGCACTTATTTAGATAGTCCTGCCTTATGACTAGCAGCAACTTTCTATGAGACGTGTGTTTGACGGAATATACTTTCTCCAGTATCACATATATGCTGATGGGAGTCCCCTTAACTTCTCTGGAGCAGTTTCCTATAGCTGTCTCAGAGAATGCTTCCAGGCTATCATCCTCAGTGAAAGTGAAAGTCGCTCAGTCATGTCCAACTTTTTGCGACCCCATGGACTGTATACTCCATGGAATTCTCCAGGCCAAAACACTGCAGTGGGTAGCCTTTCTCTTCTCCAGCAGATATTCCCAACCCAGGGATTGAACCCAGGTCTCTTGCATTGCAGGCAGACTCCTTACCAGCTGAGCCACAAAGGAAGCCCTCATAAGTCCCCAAATAAAACTGTAACTCACATCTCTCACATGGTATATTTTTATTTCAGTCAACACACTAGGATGGGAAAAATTCCTAAACACTGAGGACACATATTTGTTTTGCTGCATTTTTTTTTTTTTTTTTTTTTGGATTTTTGGCTGTACACTTGCAGGATTTTGATTCTCCAACCAGGAATTGAACTCAAGCCCTCAGAAAGAGAATCCATCTGCCAAAGCAGGAGATGCAAGGGACGTGGGTTCAATCTCTGGGTCAGGAAGATCCCCTGGAGCAGAAAATGGCAACTCACTCCAGTATTCTTGCCTAGAAAATTTCATGAACAGAGGAGCCTGGCTGGCTACAGTCCCTAGGACCGCAGAGAGTTGGACATGACTGAGTGATGGAGCACACATATACAAAAACTTTGGCAGTGAGAGCACAGAGCCCTAACCACCAGACCACTAGGGAATTCCCTTGCTGGATGCTTTTACACACACCTGTTTTCAAAGAAATTAAGCAATGTACTTTTTTATGTCAGAGTTTTCAAAGGCCACATTGTAATTATTAGGTCTCTTTAAATGCAGACAATCACAGTAATCACAGGGAATTTTTTTATCCATCCTGCTTAGTTCCCTTAACCCTTCTCAATAAGTTACTAAATATTAATACTTAGTATGAAAGCATGTCTGTGCTAAGTACTATGTTAGATGCTGGGTATACAATGGTGAATGAAACCACTGAGCTATACTTAATGGAGAAATATACCAACTTAAAAAATAAAAGTAAATTTAAAAAACATAAATAAAAGATTATACTACCAGAAGTGCTGCAAAGAATTAGTTTCCAGAGGGTGAGAGAACACAAAGAAAGAAAACCTGAAATTTACAAGAGGAAATCTACTGACAAAAAAGACTGCCCTGAAGAAATAAAGTCTGCCTACATCTATCCAGGCTTGGTTTGTAGATGTGCAACAGCAGAAACAATGTATGAATCAGAGTTAAGTAACCCTGTCTTATTTAAGGAACACAGAAAGACCCCTGCTATGTATAATATAAGGAGGGGCAATGATGCAGCATGAGGCTATACAGGTAGACAGCAGTCAGATCACACAGGACCTTTTGATTAATTAAGCAGCTTGGCAGTTTAACAAATTATTTTTTTTCTCTCTTGATTTTCTCTCTTTTCAAGTGAACTTGGACCCGTGAGCTTTAAGCACGGGTACAAGGAAACAGGAATGAGGTATACATATATTTCTAAAAGATTACTTTGGCTGCAGCATCAAATTAAAGGGATATAACACTGAATGCAGAAGAACTATTAGGGAGGCTATGGCAGTAATCCAGAGGAGAGGTGCTGAAATCTAAACTGGTTGAGAAGGAGATGGTAGAGACAGTCGGAAAAAAAAATGGAGATGCAGATGATTTCAAGAAATATTTAAGAGATAAAACCAACAAGTCCCTACTTTAAAATAAGGTGCTTGCCTCTCTTCCAATTTAAGCTCTGCACCTATAACTCCTTTGTAGACCTGGTTTGTGTACAATTATTCCTGTATGAATTAACTAGAGTTTGTCTCTGCAAGAGAGAAGTGGGGAGAAGAGAAAGAGGAATTAACTCACCATTTTAAATAAGCAGTGAAAGTTTACATTAGAAAAGAAGGAATGCAAACTGTTTGCTATGTGAGTAATGCTACAGGGTTTGCTTATAAACAGGCAATGAAGCCATAAGTAAAAGATGTAGAGCATATTCATTCAACAGGTCCAAAGGTGCATGAAAATACATATTATCAAGAGAAAAGTAATTTGACTCAAAGTTACAAGGTCAATGAGACCCTTGTGATGAACGTGAATTAGAATGGAAGCTGAAAATAAAGAATGTATACAAATATAAACTGTTTTAATGGCTGAATGAGATTAAGGGAGAAAGGCAGTTTTGCATGGGTGCTATTAGGAACTCCCACTGGAATTCACTGGGTTGTATAAAAAATATAAGATACTAATACAAGTAGTATGTTAAATGTGAAGGTCACTTTGCAATCCATTTTTACTATACAGTGATGAGAGATATTGTTAAATTGATCACAGGACAACTGGAGCAAAGAATCACTATCCAAATACTAAAAACCACCAAACACATGTTTAAACACTGAGCTATACAAACCGACTACATAAGGCAGGACCGTATTTGTGGTAGACAGCTAACTAGCTGTCCACACAAATTTCTGTATCCCTTCCATAGCATAGAGTTGCCCTGGGAACTGCTGCCCAGCAAGATTTTACTTCCCAGCCTTTCTTGTATCGAGCAAAATGGAGTGTGAGTAGAACGATGTGAGTCACTGCCAGGTCAAAGTTTTTATGAAGCAGGTGTGAATTTTGCATGTTCTCTTTGTTTCAGGCTGCTAGATGCAGAAGTCAAGAGTCTTAAGGATTTTCAAGGCCCAAAGATGGGCAGTGTGTGGACCTTAAATCACTGCGGAAGGGAAGCCATCTACCAACCAAAAATACCAGCATGTGATGCATCTATGTAAAAAATAAACTTCAATTGTGTTAAGACACTAAAATTTTGGACTTTGTTATAGCAGCAAGCATTACTCTAATATCTATTTGGATTATGTAACTGGATCTTTAGGTTTTCTTTTTTAGCATGTATTTTTATGTTCAGTTCAGTTCAGTCGCTCAGTCGTGTCCGACTCTTTGCGACTTCAGGAAAATACTTATGCTGAGTTAAAAACACAAACCTGGAAATTTGCCACAAGAGAAAGTCCTAAACAACTCAATAATCCAAGTACAAGGCCAGCCTTGTTTAATCTGATGATTCGATTCTCTTCAGGATTCAGAGCATGAACTTGCTTATAACGAACATAAATGGTTGCAATGCCTGGGAAAAGACAATTGGAAAAACAAAAAAGTAATAAATAACTAAGGAATAAAGAGCTCACAGAAGTCAGTGGTATCTAAAAACATGGAGTTCCCCCCTACCACCACCACTTCACCCCTTGACCTCCCTGCATGTGGGATCTTACTTCCCTGACCAGGGATCAATCCCATGCCCCCTGCATTGGAAGCTCAGTCTTAACCACTAGACCACTAGGGAAGTCTCAAGAAACATAGTTTCCTTTTAAAGATGATCTGAGAGAAGAAAAAACAAAACAAGCAAAAAACCAGCTGTAGTTTCTACAGAACTTTTAAGATTGTACTGTAAAACTACTATTATCTCTGTGTGACTGAGCAAGTTCTTTGCTTCCTGTGGGCCTCATGTTAAAAATATTTTGGAAAAATTTAAGAGGTGATTTTGATGTTTTCTGAAAATCTCTAGTAATAAATGTTATATAAAGCACAAACTGGGGGCTTCCCAGGTGGTGTAAATGGTAAACAACACACCTGCCAATGCAGGAGATAAGAGAGACGTGGATCCCTGTGTGAGGAAGATCCTCTGGAGGAGGGGATGGCAACCACGCCAATATTCTTGCCTGGAGAATCCCATGGAAATAGGAGCCTGGCAGGCTACAGTGCATGGGGTCCCAAAGAGTCGGATATAACTAATGCGACTTCACACAAACTATTACATATGATTAGCATTAAAGTCTAAAGTAATTAGTTTGAAGAATATGGATAAGACAGACATAGGCAAAAAACACCAAGGGGTTATTTGCCTCACTTTCATTTCAATTCAAATTGCTACAACTTGGCTCAATCAGATACAGCGGTCAGTAACACAGGAAAAAAAAACAAAACCCCACTTGACTGTCCTAACCGGTCAAGGGTCAAATTAAACCTTCCATTGCAAAAATATTGCCAAAGAACTGAAAGTGTAGGAAACATAACAGGGATATACTTTTGTAGAGACATATTTCTGGAAACTTTAGTTATAAGATGAACTTCTGTACACTGAAATAATTTAACTTAAGTGATTGCCCTGAGCAAATAATAAACATGATATGGCAAAATGCAAATATTTAAAACAATCACAATTGGTGGAAAAAGCATTATTTTAGTAAACCATTAATAAAAAATTAGCTCAAATGAAAGGAATGTAAATAGCATAGTAGAACTCCATTTCTTTGGCATTAGAATATCGCTCAAAAATAAAACAGAGTTTCACAGCTATTCTCAAACTTCTCAATTGTTTATCTTAAAGGGATATTGTTGAGGTCAGTTGTGGTCAGGGTGTTGATAGCTCCTTGTCCTCTACTGGTTGCTTAAGAAATCCCCTTAAGACTCAAGGAATATTTGGTTATACTTTGCAGCTTCTATGTGCATGAGTAGTCAAATAGCTCTATAGATATTTTTAAAAGATTTATTTACATAATTTAGCATGTCTAGACATTGTTTTTACTTTAAAAGAAACCTATCTGTCATCAATAATTTAGTGATAACTCTCCTTCAATGTAAGTAGCAAGTAAAACAAATAACTCAATAGTACTGAACGAATAAAAGGGCAATTCAGCTTTAAATTTTGATTCCCAAAATCATTCTTACTACTTACATAAAACTGCGGCGATATTTAACATTGCCCCAAACAAACATTTTTCTGGAGCCACTGTACCAGTGTCACTAGAAGAAAAAAAAAATAGGTATGAGGATTTCTCATATTAGACTTAGATATACATGTGTATTTCTTCTAATGGATAAGAAACAAAAGAGGTTATTTCAAATCCTTTACCTTTTTATAAATTCCATGACTCAACCCTTAACTTTACAATGAGAACATGACAATTTCAGCACTCAACATTTGATGCTCACTTTTTTCACATATCACTTAAGGTTGTTTCTTTTTCACATAATAGAATTCACCATAAATGGATAAAATAGCTATCCTTGTCATGCTGAGGCTGCATTACTAACTTACATCAGTCAGGCACCATGTTTATCTGTCTCACCTGAATATTCCCTAAACACCAAAGATCCTTTCAGACTCCTTGGGCATCTGTTGTTCTCTGCCTATAATTAACACCTAATTGTTTCTTGATTACTTTTTAAAAATATTTATCAAGCATCTAACAGGATTGTCAGACACATTTTAGGGACAAAAGCACTGTGGAAATAGAAGAGACAAAGCCCTTGCCTTTGCCCTTTGGAGACTCCACTCAAGGCCAGCTTTGCGTTCTCTTCTCTCGACATCCCAGCTGACTCACAGCTTCCACTCAAGACTTCTATTAAAATCACAGGTCACACTGTATTGCAATGTGTCTGTTTATATGCCTGTCTTTCAGTGAGAGTGAAACGCATAGATCCTCATTAACGGCCCACCATTTACTAACTGGGGAACCTTGAGTATGTTCTATGTATACCCACGGTTGTCCTCTACCTAAAAAACGGGGCTATCAATTCCTTCCCAGACTCATCAGGTCAACATAAGGAAATGAAACTGTGGTCGTGCATGCAAAGTATCTAGCATAGCTGCAGGCACATAGAAGACACTCTGTGAATGTTAGTTCCTTCCCCTTTCCTCAAACTACTGAAAAGATTAAAAAGACAAGGTCTTTATCCTCAAATTGAAGTAATATAGGAAAGAGATAAGAAGGACCTCAACCTTGATAAACATAATTTAAAAAAAGAGGAAAGTCATATCCGCTAAAGAATCAATAATATCTCATGAATATTTGGATCAGGTTTAGGAAAGTAAAGTATCAAATACGGATTATGAATAATATCTCGTGAATATTTGGATCAGGTTTAGGAAAGTAAAGTATCAAATATGGATTCTAAGGATTGCTCCTTCCCACTCTACATTTGTGTCTTTCTTAAGACACAAATGATTTTGTTACTCTTTGATCATCTTCAGGGAGTAGGGATTGTCTTTGCTTCTACCTTTCAAATTTTCAAGAATAAATGCATATGTATTATTCTTACAATCAGAGAAAAATCCATGGAACTTCCCTGGTGGACCAATGGTTAAAACTCTGTGCTTCCAAGGCAGGGGGCATGGGTTTGATCCCTGGTCGTGGAACTAAGATCCCACATGCTGCATGGTAATTGCCAAAAAATAAAAATAAATTAGAAAAAAAAAATTCATAATTTTAACTGTGGTATCCCAAATGATGCTCCTGTTTTAGATTACCCATAAGTAAATAACTTATGGGGCTTCCCAGGTGGCTCAGATGGTAAGGAATCTGCCTGCAATGCAGGAGACATGGGTTCAATCCCTGGGGCAGGAAGATCCCTTGGAGAAGGGCATAGCAAACCACTCCAGTATTCTTGCCTGGAGTATTCTATGGACAGAGGAGCCTGGCAGGCTACAGTCCATGGGGTTGCACAGAGTCAGACACCACTGAGTTACTAACAAGTAAATAACAGCATGTACTTCCAAGATGGCTGACTAAGTGTGCTCTGGATCAGAATGACAAATTGGCCTACAAATAAAAATAGCCAAGCCCATCATCTCATCAGCACTGCATTTCAACCCAGTGGTCATTACATACCATTAAAAAAAAATTATCTGATCACTATTGCATGTTATTTATATTATTATGCATATATTAAATACAAGTTCTTTTCTTTTTTTGGCCACGTAGCATGGTTTGTGGGATTTCAGTTCCCCAACCAGGGATCAAACCCAGGCCCTTGGTAGTGAAGTGAGGAGTTCTGACCAATGGACCACCAGGGAATTCCGAAATGAAAGTTTAAATATTTTGAAATATAAAATACATAGATGTTCTAACCATTTCCTCTTATACCCCAGTGGTTAGTCTCATGCACCCTTCCTACACATTCATAACTTGAACCAAGAGAACACCTGAAGCACACTTGCAGAATTATCTCTGAACTGTGAATTATCTCTGAAGTGAAATTTATATTTGGTTATGTCGTATGGGGACTGTAACAATGAAGTCTTTCAGGTAGAGTCTATGAGCTGAAAGGAACCTCGCAGAGTATCTAATCTAACTCTATCATTTTTCAGATGATGACAATGAGCCTAGGAGAAGTAAAAATAAGTACCATTGAGTTTACATACATTAAAATGTGGGAGGAAATTCTTCAGATAATAATACTAAGTTCATTAGCAAAAAAAAATTAAAAGGCAGAAGGACAGAGACAGACAAGGAAGTGTCTAGTGTTCTATCAGAAAATCACATGCAGTACCATCAGAGAACTGAAACTCTGATAAAGAACTCAATGGCCTCAAATTATAAAGAGCTCTTTGAAATGAAAGCAAATTCTCTAAGGGGAAATAAAAATGATGAAAGACACTCACGAATATGTATGCTCTCTTGGTGTTACTAGAGAATGAACTGGCTCTTTAAGCTACAGGTCCTTTGATCAGAGTGGTGAACAGTGGTGACTTATCAAAATGATTCCTACAACTGGAAACTTAAATTCTACAGTATCTTTGGATTTTATAAAGCTTCTTAAAGTAGACTCAATCTGTTGGTGACCTGTGTGCTACACCATACCATTGTGGAAACAATAAATGAAATGGCATTGCCCTGATCTCTTCAACAGATAAATTTAGCCTTTATCACCTTTCAGAAGTGCTCTATTTTCTGTGTTGGAAAGGTTATTTTTCAGAGGGTAAACAAACAAATAAATGAAACAACTACGACAAACAACCAAACTGGGAGAAAATTAACCAAGTCGTTAATAATTTCTGGAGGGGCAGAAACTAGAGGGAGACTGGAAAAGACTTTGAATTTCACTTTTATAATTACTCTAGTCCCTGATGCTGGGAGGGATTGGGGGCAGGAGGAGAAGGGGACGACAGAGGTGAAATGGCTGGATGGCATCACCGACTCAATGGACATGAGTTTGAGTAAACTCTGGGAGCTGGTGATGGACAGGGAGGCCTGGTATACTGCGATCATGGGGTCGCAAAGAGTCGGACACAACTGAGAGACTGAACTGAACTGAATCACTCTAGTACTGTTTAAAATGTGTTATAATAAGCACATATTGCCTTTATAACTGGGGGGAAAAAAAGATTATGGACATAGCATATGTAATCAAGTACCCATACTTAAATCACAAGTAGTTTTGGTATTTCAAAAACATTATCAACAAATGTAGATACTTAGTGTGTTAGAAAAGTCTAGGCAACATGTCATAAAGTGTAAGATCATAGTCTCTAGAATCAAATGGCTTGCCTGGTCAAACTGAATCTTGGCTCCATCAATTACTGAGTCACATGCCCTTGAACAAACAACCTCCTTGGACCTCATTTCTTCCTCTATCAAATGGGGGTAATAGTTTCTAACTCAAAGAGTGGGTGAAAACATTCAATTATTTAAAACCTATTTAAGAAAAATGCTTAGAACATTACCTTGTACGCAGTAAGCAAATCAACTGTTTGCCATTACCGTTAAGTGGAACTGTTAGTCACTCAGTCGTGTCTTTGAGACCCCATGGGACTGTAGCCCGCCAGGCTCCTCTGTCCATGGAATTTTCCAGGCAAGAGTACTGGAGTGGGTTGCCATGCCCTTCTCCAGAGGATCTTCCTGACCCAGGGATCAAACCCAAGTCCCCCGCATTGTAGGCAGATTCTTATTATTGTTGTTCCAGTATTTTTGAATTGTAAGGGGAAAATAATTCCAACTCTATCTCCTGAAACCTTGAATACTTATTTGGAAAACAGGCATTGAGGTGTCACAATTCACTAACTGAACCTTAAGCATCTGTCTCCATATTTCTCTATCACACAGAAAAAACCAAATACAACTTCCTTTTTCTGATTTTATTTTTGTAATATCAAACATAAAATTTGAAATTCAAAATGTTAAAATTAAATGTTGAGTTCAATATTAAAACATGAATGATACATACCATTCTCCACAAAAGAATACATTTCACTGACCTGATATAAGGCAAAACAGGGTCAACATGGTGAAGTGTTATAGCAGTGATATATGAAAATATGAAAGCAGCTGCTGTCCAAATTACAAGGGCTGAAGGAAGGAAACTGAGGCCTTGCTGAAACCACCACATCTCAAACAGGTCTCCTGAGGCAGAAAAAAAAAAAAATTAGGTAAGATTATTCACGAGTATTTCATCTATTCTACTTCAGCCCCCCAATCCCACAAAATTGTACTTTCATCCTCAGCTGTTTCACTTCTGATCAATTCCCATACCATCTACTGACACCTATTCTTCTTCAGTTTTACAGTAAATGGAACCAGGAGTCAGCCACTTTCTGCATCCAGACACTACCTCTCTACCCCATCTTTCCACACATAATCAATTACCAAGGACTATTAATTTCACCTCTTGGATTTCCTCAAATCTACTGCTTCTCTCCATCTTCACTGCTACTACTCTACCTAAACCACCTTCATTTCTTGACCAGATTATTATTATAATCTTCTAAATGGTCCTCCCTTAGTCTGGACCACAACCAACCCAGATTCTACTATAAATTTTTTTTAAAAAGCATTCTAATTCTAAAATACCAATCTGACCACTTTATTCTCCTCCAGAGAACCTTTCAGTGCCCCGCTCCCCCACCCCAATGACTTTACAAAGTTTCTTTCCTTCTTAATATGGCCTATGGTCTTGTCTTATCTCTATCTATTCAATACATTCCTCTCTGGCCATTTCTCTGTCTGCTCCCAGTTCCCTGCCCTAGCTATCATCATCTTCACCATCAAAACAAAAACAGTGTTTACTGTGTCAGCAAGCCTACTAAGTACCTTAAACATATGATCTCCTTTATTCCTCAGAACAGAATCATAGAGGTTAAGAGAACTGCCCAAGGTCATAGGGCTGCAATAGAGACAGTATTCAAACTCAGGCTTCTACTCCTAAATCACTTCAGTCGTGTCCGACTCTGTGTGATCTCACAGACAGCAGCCCACCAGGCTCCGCCGTCCCTGGGATTCTCCAGGCAAGAACACTGGAGTGGGTTGCCATTTCCTTCTCCAATGCGTGAAAGTGAGAAGTGAAAGTGAAGTCGCTTAGTCGTGTCTGACTCCTAGCGACCCCATGGACCGCAGCCTACCAGGCTCCTCCATCCATGGGATTTTCCAGGCAAGAGCACTGGAGTGGGTGCCATTGCCTTTCCATTCTAATACCAGTCATGATGCAAATCTCTTTCAGGCTGCCAAGTGTGTCATGCCCTCTTGCACATCTTTGAACCTTTGTTTTGTCTGGCTACAAATAGTGTCACACCTCCTCCTCCACTACCACACGTTAACTGCTATACATTTCAAGTCTCAGCTCTTCCAGCTTCATCTGAGCATTCCTGCTTTGTTTCCGATGGCACCCTTACTTTCTCAACAAGGACACTGCTTGTTTGGTTTTATCTTTCTCACTAAACTTTAGAGGGCCTATCTACACACATACTACACATCACCACTTTCTCCCTTAAATTCCAGACTGAGGATGTTGGTAAGTAATAAGGTGTCAATAATATGAATTAGAAAATATTAATGTATCTTCATGCATTTAATTTTTAAAAATATAGGAATACTTTCAAATTCTAAGAAATTACTATTACACATGTGAAAATAATTTCATATTTGGAGGAGTATCTTCTCATAGTGTGAGACTGCAATTCAGTATTCCCCATGAACTCTGTAAAAACTTACACTCTTATCTCCACGATCCTCCAAAGTGCTCAGCTTCCTCATCTCAGACTGACCTTCCAAATAATGAAACCTCAGCCATTTTTGACTTGTACTTCTCTTTAACTCTGACCATCTGACTTGCTACTAAATATGTACATCTAAATCTTGCTAAATAAGTTTCTTTTCCTTTATCCCTCGAGTCACCAGTGTACACTCAATTTGAGTAATTTCCTGTCTGAATCATCATAATCTCCTCTTTTCTGTTCTTTCTTCATGTCATCCTTTAACATTCCATCAATTTTACTCTCCTATTTAGTTAATCATGCTAGCTGCCTGCAGCTTCCCTGGTGGCTCAGATAGTAAAGAATCTTCCTGCAATGCAGGAGGCCCAGGTTCGACCCCTGGTTCAGAAAGATCCCTGGGAGAAGGAAATGGCAATCCACTCCAATATCCTTGCCTGGAGAAATTCCATGGACAGAGGAGCCTGGTGGGCTGCAGTACATGGTGTCGCAAAGAGTCAGACATGACTGAGCAACTAACACTTTCACATTGGATGCCTTGCCTGGGAACTCTCCCTAGGCAGTCAATTGGAGCCATTGTTTCCCATCTCTCAGGGTTCACTCCCAGTCCTTCTTCACCTGATGCCAATTCCTTGTGAAGTTCCTATAGGACTTTCCCCAGCATGTTTCTGGACAATAATTCCTAATTTCTATAAATTTTGAGTAACTTCTAAAAACTTGAATTTAAAATCTTTAGGAGTTTAGTTTCGAATTTGTTGGTTCTGACAACCTTTGCACACTTTTTTAAAAATCAATTTTTGACTATGAGCTCCTGTTTAGATGATCTTAATGGGAGTATTCTAAAAGGTTTAGATTAAGGGCGAATCATTCCAGAGAGGGTCTGTATTATTTCCAGGTATTCTGGTACATTATGAACCTGGGTTGACTTTAATTTCTTGGCTTCCAAGTTTTTCAGACCATGTATACAGGTAAATTTAAACTTAGAATCTGAGTGACGACAGGCCCTATAGTTTTAAGTTCTTATGTGGTATCATTATTCCCCCACCTGGATCTGTGGGGCTTGAAAAGGAACAAATTTGTGATCCCTCTTTGCCAGGAAGGAGGTATTTTTTTCCTAGCCCAACTTTCATTGAATATATAGATTTTTGAGCATCCTGGCTGATTTGAGGGGAGAGGTGGTTCTCCAAGGCCACGAGTTGTACAATTTCAAATGGGAATATTTATACTTTATTTTTTAGGAAAAAATCATCCCCTGACACACAGGCATCACCTACACAAACTATATAACATGAATGGTGTCTCTGGAAGTTATACATCCGGGAGGTCAAAGAGTTATGAATTCTCTCTCTAACTTGGGTGGTAACAGGGGCAGCCTATCATTTATCCGTAATTGTACTTTATTTCAAAGCCCGCTCAAAACACACACTATTAGTTTACTACCCTGGTGTCAACTCTCTTCAACTTTTTAGCCCTGGGAATTTCCCCTTCTTTCCTCCGAGGACCGCTATACATTTACAAGGCTAATATAATTTATTCAGCATTTGGGTGTTTTGGCAAAAGGGATTTTCAAAAGATTTTGTCCACCCTATTGTTAGAAGCATGACCTCTTCTTAAAAAAAAAAACAAAAACTCCCAGAATCCCAGTGAAGGGAAATCGCTCAGTAGTGCCTGACTCTTTGCGACCCCATGGACAGTAGCCTGCACCAAGCTCCTCCATCCATGGGATTTTCTAGGCAATAGTACTGGAATGGGTTGCCATTTCCTTCTCCAAGAATCCCAAGGGCCATGTTAATCTCAGTTATGTTGGAGGCTGTGGTCCCAGGCAAGTTCTAGAGTATGGGATAAAGTCAGAGAAGAGAGTAGGAGTGGTGGAGATAGATGATTCATTTTGTTCAAAGTTGGGGAAAGCACTGTCTTTCTCCAGGGAGAATGGGAAAGCCTATTTTATTTTACTTTTTCGGCCTGGCCATGCAGCTTGCAGGATCTCAGTTCTTGGACCAGGGACTGAACCCATGCCATGGCAGTGAAAGCCTGGTACTCTTAATTACTGGGCCACCAGAGAATTCCCACAAGACCTCTTCCTTTAATTGTTTGTGCATGTCCAAATCCTTCCTATTCTTCAAAGTCAGGCTGAGATACCATATCCACACAACCTTCCCTAATCCATTTGGATCTCGAAATAAACATTCCTTCTTCTGAGAACATCTGACTTGCACATCTCTTACAGCTCATTTTCTTTGACAGTATAAAAACTGGGGAGGGTGTCTGAAGTGGATAAAATCCTTGATGAGGAATTCTACTTCTCTACTCAAGCACAGAATAGGCACTTGCCCATAAAAATCACTCAATAGCCCAAACCAGATCCTCATAAACCCCAACATTTTTTCTATTTCAGTTAACAGTACAAGCAATCCCCAACTTACAGTAGTTCATCTTTACGATGGTGCAAAAGCAATTTACATTCAGTAGAAATCACACCTCAAATTTTGCCCTTTTCCCAGCCTAGTGATATGCAGTACAATATTCTTGTGACAAGATGCAGTTCCTGGTCATTTGCAACCATTCTTATTCCTAGTTACCACTGTAAACACTCAAATAAGGTTCTCAGTTCTCTTGGCCTGTGTTTTTCCTTCCCCTCCATCCATTCTACATGCACTGCCAAATTAACTTTCCTAAAATATATTTCTGCTCAAAAACTTCTTCAAATAAAATTGTGTGAACTTGGACAAGCTTCATTAATTTCTCTGAACCAGTTTCTCCTTTGAAAAATGACAGTAATATTATTGGCAAAGGCTGTACTGTCCAATACAGTTAGTACCAGCCACAGGTGAAGAGCTGACTCACTGGAAAAGTTCCTGATGCTGGGAAAGACTGAAGACAAAAGGAGAAGGGGGCGGCAAAGGATGAGATGGTTAGACAGCATCACAGACTCAATGAACAAACTCGGGGAGACAGTGGAGGACAGAGGAGCCTGGCTTGCTGCAGACCATGGGGTCACAAAGAACGGAATAACTTAGAGACTGAATACAGCAATAAAGCCACATGTGACTATTTAAATTAAAAATTTCAGTTCCTCAGTTGTACCAGATGTGTTTCAAGTGCTCAGAAGCCACAGCTGTAGCTACCATACAGGATGGTGAAAATATGGAACATTTCCATTATCATGGAAAAGTTCTTTTGGACAGCGCTGGATCACTATTACAGGGGTTACACTGACAGCACAAGTAAAGAACCTAAATACTTACTGATACTGGTACCTTTTAGTATTAACTGTTAAATGCTCTAAAAGAATACCTGCTTCAGAGAGGTTTATTCAAGAAGTAAATGAGATAATACATGTAAAGAAGCGCTCATGGGTGGTCAGTAAACGTTTGTTTCTCTTTTAGAATGTAAAAGATGAAAGTTCACAAAATACCAGTCAAATATGCCCAAATCTGCACCTTTTTGTAAATCCTGAAACTCACATATAAACAAAATAAAGGCTGTTTCAACCCACGTGTCTTTAAAACATGTAAAATTTCAAGTCAATGCACCAATATTGCTCAAGGGTAGAGCACTATGCTATTAATTTTTTCTTTAAAGAGCTGATATGTGTGCATTTTATAATAATACATGGAATTAAATAATATTTTAAATCTGGGATATCAATTTTCTCATTCTTTCTCACATTAGACACCTTTCACTGATCTCAAAAAGGATAAAATTAAATGAGGAACACTGAGTTCCCTCCCACAGAAGGAAAAACAATGAGGAAAAAATGATAGCTTATTATTAAGCCAAATAAAGCACTGACTAGTCCCTGAGATGCAATGGAAAGAACACAGTTGTAAGATCAGATTTACATAAGTGCAAATCTCAGCTTTATCACATCCCAGCTGTACAATTTCAGGCAAGTTACTTAGCTTCTCTGAGTTTCAGCATTCTGACTTATAAAGCAGCTATTCCTTAGAGTAGTACAGAATAAACATACAAATAATCATGATGCTCGTGCTCAATCACTAAGTCATGTCCAACTCTTTGTGACCCTATGGACTGTAGACCGCTGGCTCCTCTGTCCATGGGATTTTCCAGGCAAGAATACTGGAGTAGGCTGCCGTTTCCTTCTCCAGGGGATCTTCCTGACCCAGGGATGGAACCTGTATCTCCAGGGTTCCCTGCACTGGCAGGCGGATTCTTCACCACTGAGCCACCTGTGAAGCCCCATAATGATGGGTGATTTATTAACTCTGTACAATCACAATTAGCCACAGGGATGGGGAATGACAATCCTTAATTCCTTGTACATCTGAATCATCTTAGATTCCTATCTCCTGAGGTTTTGAGGGTTCTAGTTATCTAAATTGACAATTTAGAGGAAAAGCAGCAGCAAATGGTTGTTGTTCAGCTGCTCAGTCGTATCCAACTGTTTGGGATCCCATGGACTGCAGCATGCCAGGCTTCCCTGTCCTTCACTATCTCCTGCAGTTTGCTCAACTCATGTTCACTGAGTTGGTGATGCCATACAACCATGCCATCCTCTGTCACTCGCTTCTCCTGCCCTCAATCTTTCCTAGCATCAGGGTCTTTTCCAATGAGTCGGCTCTTCGCATCAGCTGGCCAAAATATGAGAGCTTCAGCTTCAGCATCAGTCTTTCCAATGAACACTCAGGTTTGTTTTCCTTTAGGACTGCCTGGTTTGATCTCCTTGCTGACCAAAAGACTCTCAAGAGTCTTCTCCAGCACCACAGTTTGAAAGCATCAATTCTTTGGCACTCAGCCTTCTTTATTGTCCAACTCTCACATCCATACATGACTACTGGAAAAACCATAGCTTTGACTATACTGACCTTTGTTGGCAAAGTGATGTCTCTGATTTTTAATACTCTAAGTTTGTCATAGCTTTCTTCCAAGGAGCAAGCATCTTTTAATTTCATGGCTGCAGTCACCATCCACAGTGATTTTGGAACCCAAGAAAATGAAATCTTTCATTGTTTCCATTTTCCCCCCATCTATTTGCCATGAAGTGATGAGACCAGAGGCCATGATGTTAGTTTTTTGAACGTTGAGTTTGAAGCCAGCTTTTTCACAGCCCTCTTTTACCTTCATCAAGAGGCTCTTTAGTTCCTCTTGGCTTTATGTCATTAGGCTAGTCTTATCTGCATATTTGAGGTTATTGGGCAAATGGTTTACCAGTTTGCAAAGGACCACTGAGAAAATTAAGTGCACCAAGGTGAGGAAGACTACTGTTGCCTATGTATTATCACACTGGAAAAGTGGAAGCACTGCCAACCAAGCAAAATTGGAATTTTAATGCTTGATAATTTAAGAAACCTTGATTAAGATTCTTGAAAATATGCAGTAATAGCCTTCACATAGCAATGACAGAAACATTTAACAAAATGTTCTTGCATTTCTCACCTATCTTATCTCTGCGTTCCTTGAAGATCCCTGAATCAGAACTGCAGCTACAAGTTTTAAATTCTGCAATATTTAAATGCCACAGGTAAAAAGATGAATTCTTTATGCTGTCTCCTCTAAGTGGTGACTGCTTAGGGACAATAAAAAAGTAAATTCTGGATATTCCAAGTGAAGAAATAAAGCCACAGGTACACAGAATCATGCTCAAAGCAAAGCATAATAGTAAATGGTCATTTTTCTAAACTCTAATTTGTCCTTCTAACAAACATACTATTCTCGTAATGATTAAAAATTAAATAGTCTAGAAAAGTAAGTAACACTTTTACAAATCGGATCAAACACTACAGGGAGAGAAGTCGAGGGAGAATCTGATGGTGCATGGCAAATTAGAGCTGTATTTTAGTATTGGTTTATACACTTAAATTTGGGAGAACTGGAAAAATGCGGAGTTTTACAAACGTATCCTAATGTAAGCACAGTTGTGAGAATACAAAGGACTAGATATTTACCTTTCTATACTGGACTTTCCTGGTGGCTCAGACGGTAAAGAATCTGCCTGCAATGCAAGAGACCCGGGTTCGATCCTTGGGTGGGGGAGATCCCCTGGAGAAGGGAATGGCTACCCGTATTCTTGCCTGAAGAAGTCTATAGACAGAGGAGCCTAGCAAGCCCCGGTCCGGCAGTCCCAGAGAGTGGGACACGACTGAGCGACTAACATACACACATACACAACACACACACTCACACTACTCTGCTCACCCCAGGGCAGACTTGAGCTTCGGGTAAACCCAAGTCACCACCACAAATAACCTTCCTCCCCTACCCCACCCCTCCAAGGAATCCAAGCCCGGGAGTGACAAAGGGAAGGTGTACTCAAGCACAGTTTTTTGTGGGACTGGGGCAAAGGTTCTCGATAACCACTTAAAATAAAACCAAGGAATTATTTACACCCACCGCTGCCTTCTTCCGGAGGCACAAAGAACTGGGACGAAGAGCTCGATTAACCCGTGCCTGGGGCAAAGAAAAGACGTGGGAGGCGGAGGCTTGGCAGGGCTTGGGGCAAGCGAGGCGTGGAGGGGTGCGGGGGAGGGGGAAAGACCAAGAACTCACACAGAAAGGTGAGGCGCGGAGACCTGAACCCAGTCTGCACCCACTCAAAACCCCTCCTCCCGACTCGGACCCCCAGCAGTCCGTCCGCGCTCCGACTGCCACCTGGTCCCTCTCCCGCAAGTCACACATCGTGGTCCCTGGAAGCTGGACGCCTCGCACGCCCGCCAAGGGGTTGTGGGGCTCCCGGCAGCTTCCCCGTCTCTGACCCTCCCGATCCCATTGTCCAATACACCCCTCCTTAGCTGGGCCTGGGGTCGGCCCTCATCCCTTTTTTGGCCTACCTCGCTCAGACGACCCTGCCAGTACGGACCGCCGGGTCCGGAGGCGGCCGGCTGAACGGAGATGGGGCAGGGCCCCGAAGCGCGCTCCCGAGCACCCAAGCCGGTCCCGGGGCGCGCTCACCACCCGGAGGTGCGCGCTCGCGCCGCCGCCTGCTCCGACACTATATCCCTTTACGGCAATCGCGAAAGTGTCGTGAACGTGCTGCCGCGGATCAGAGTCACCCAGTCGGCTGGAGTCGCAGGTCTTAATTCTAGCGGTGTGCTTTTGCGGGCCGTGGTAAGGCTGCGATGGTCGGTCCTGGGGAAACGGCCAGAGTGTAAAGAATGGGTCGGGGGCCACGATTCTCAAAAGGGGCGGAGAGAGGGCTGCAAGTTCTGGGGTGGGGCATTGGAATATATCTCTGTATGGACTCGCGCGAGGCGAACGCAGTTTCTTCCTCGCGCAGGGTAGCCTCGCGCGCGGGCTTGTGGGGAGGGCGAGGGGCTACTGCTCCTCTGACCCCGGGTGGAGAGATTGAGGTGGCGCTTTGCCAGCCCGAGAGCTCGCGGTCTACTGTGCTGGGTGTCAGGCTGGAGAAAACCTCGGCGGCCCGGCCCGGACTGGGCGGGCCGAGAGCTGGGGGCGCTGCCTGCGCGGAACCGACCTTGCCTATCAGGTCCACACCCTCCTGCTCAGGTGCTGCCAAGTCCACAAACCGTGTTGAATCCTGTGCTGAATTTGCCTTCCGTTTGGAATACGGTGCTGGTGTGGCTGGGGCCACACTTCTTGGTCAGCAACTTTTCTAGAAATCTCAGAGTATACTGACGATCTCTAAGGTTGCCGCCTAGGGTTTATTTCAGAAGTATTCTTGAAAGGACGGGAAGGTTTGCTAGTCTTTGCCGGTGTCCCTAGAACACTAGATGAATGGGATCTTTACATTTTGCTGTGTTTAACTTGTTTTTACTCCAGTTCAGTGATTGGCGCTTTTGTGTCATTTATGGCATTTTGCGTCATTCGTATTAATATATGTATGTGATTTTGCTTTAAGTCTCTTAGTTCATTGATGAATCCGTGTTAACGGTAATAGGCAAGTTCATAATTATCCTTAAACGAACGTTAGTGTCTTGTGTGTGAACAAAGAATAAAGATTGTGTTTCTACTCTCGTACTACTAGGCATGTGTTGAGTGGAGGTGTTGAATTGAGAGCATTTAGAGCATAAGAACTTAAGAACCATTGGCTTTCATGTAAAATTCCAGATATTGAAGTTCTAAAGGCATTTTGCTGCATATTCGTTTTGTGCTGAGCAAAAACTATTTGGAAGCCCCTTGTGCAACTTGTCTTTACAACCCTTGCATTTTGGAAAAAAGCCAGATAAATCTGCCTCTTGTATTAACCTGTTCTGACAGAGGTACCTTCATTTGTTGGCCAGCTATTAGATTATTATTGAATATTTACTACTATGGTTTCATAAATGCATTCTTCTTCCTCTCCCATACCCAATCTCTCAAAATTTACATTATAAACACTATTATATGTTTGATATTTAAATATAAACTTGTTTTATAACCCCCGTTAGATATTACTGCATAGTCAGTGTGTCTTCTAGGCAGCAGTAGACTTGTTTAGGCTAAACGTACTGGTGACATTCTTTTTGAGGGTCATGCTATGCTGTCTCTTTTAAGGGCATAGGAAAATAATCCACCAAATGTTAAGCTTTGGCTTTTTTTGCTTGTTTGTTTGTTTCTGGAAGAAGTTGTTTCCTTTTTTTTTTTTTTTTTTTAAAGGAATGCAAGATTTCACTTCAGCAAAGCAGTAGATCTAAATTGTGTTACACAGTACTGTTTTAGCTTCCAAGTCTTCTGAAAAGGCTTTTGTTTTTGGTAACTTGTTCTGTGTATCACTTGTTAAATAATGCTGAATGTAATCCTGTGATCCTATTAGTTTTTTTAAGCTTGATTTTTTATAGTTCGCTGCTCTGCCTCCCAAATATTGTTCAACATTAGTATTTTCCTTTAGTCGTGCCATAGAAGTGGAAAGAGCTGTGTAGTCACCAGTTCCTGTGAAAGGGTTGTAAACATACTGCTGAATCAGTGCAGCTCAAAACTTGGCACCCTTAGACACAGGGGGGATGGGAATTCTGGAATTTCACACTATAGGTTGGATATTGTGTAAGCTTACCTTATGCTCTGCTGAGCGGTTGGAGATTCCTTTTTGAGTGTGATACTTGTCAGATTTTCACCAGTGCTGAACACTGGAATATTGTAGGCAGCATGTTATTATCTTTAGCGGCTACAAGCACAGATGTTTTGCATCACAGACTTAAGGTCTACAAATTGTGTATAATTTTAGTAAAGATACTCATTATATGTCTATGATTTTATTTTTGTACCTTCATTGGACTTTTTACATAAATACATGTCTGTGCAAAGAAGAATTTTGTTAGACCATGTGTGCCCCCTCCCCTAAACTACCACAGCAGTTTGTTCACAGTATGCTATAGCTTAGCTATTTACAAGGCTCCCCACCACCACTTTGAGCTTGAGGGCATGGATGGCATATTTCAGTCTTTCTGTTTCCTCAAAGATCTAGAACAATCCGGTGCTATTAAATAACTAGATGAATCACATTTGTTCATTGTCCCACAAATAAGTACTGATCATCCACCTAGTGTTAGGTATGGTATAAGATTTTGGGAAAAGAATATTAAGACATGCATGGCTCCTGCACTCCTGTGTCTTACATGTCAGTGTGGGGAAAAGACCAAAAAAAAAAAAAACCCAACAATTAACAAAAAAACTTCGAAATGTGGTAAGTGCTATGGAAGAAGTATCACGTTCAAGCCAACTTATAGCAGAGGAGGGGAATTTGTTGATTACAAGTGGAGAGGTGACATAGGACAGTGATCCGTGTTATTGTAATCTGAATTCCAGGTAATGAGGATTTTAAAACATTTAAAATACTTTTATTGTTATAATTTGTTAAAACACTTCCTTAGTTAATAAATTGGCTGTGCTGCAAAATTATAGATTTCTTTATAGGTTAATTGATGGCTTTCTATAAGATCAGAATAAAATATTAACTCCTTGCCACAATCTATAAACCTCTGCATTGTTGGGCTTTTCATAGTGTCCTTTATCTCACTCTTTCATATGGTTTACTACTGTCCAGTCATAGTGATCCCAGAGATGTGAATAAGAAAGATAAGCTGGATTTTGCCTCAGATCTGTTTTTCTTTCTTGGACTCTTCTTCCTCTTTCTCTTGGAATGGCTCTCTCCTTTTCCTCTGAAGTTACTATGTGAAGTGAAAGTGAAGTTGCTTAGTGGTGTCCTACTGCGACCCCATGGGCTGTAGCCTACCAGGCTCCTCAGTCCATGGGATTTTCCAGGCAAGAGTACGGGAGTGGGCTGCCATTTCCTTCTCCAGGGGATCTTCCCAGCACGGGGATCAAACCTGGGCCGCCTGCACTGCAGACAGACGCTTTACTGTCTGAGCCACCAGGTATAAATGCTTCTTTTTCATGGTCTTCAACCACCTTATCTACAGTGTTCCTTTTCAACTATATTCTGGCTCCACATCTTGTTTTCTTCATATTGCCCATCACAGTGTGTAAGTGTGTAATGTCATTTGCTTATCTACCTTCTTTTACTTATTTTTCCATCGGACTTGGGAACTGGGATTATGTCTGTCTTGTTTACTGCACTCAGATATTGGCTGAATGCATTTGAAACTTGGAATCCATTTTCTCATAAAAAGTTACCACTGGTGGCTGGGTTTCTAAGCTAACCAGCACTAGTTTTAATTCCTTGCATTAATTTTTTAATTCCTTGTAGTGTGGGTAGAAAATGACATTTTCTCCTCAACCTTTTGGTCATAGGCTTGACTCTAGATAAAAATCTCAGGTAGCTAAGATAATTTTTGTGATGTTTGTACCTTCTTCCCATACTCCTATCTCAGATCCTTTCCCCTTTCTCTCCATGGAGTCTCCTCTTCTGTTGTAGTAACCTTCACTGTCTTGCTCCCTTGATATGCTTGCTTTTCACTTGCTGAAGTTCAGAAACTCCTCTTTTTTTCCTGAGATGGTTTTCCTGGCAGTTGCCTCCTGGTCTCAGGTTTGATGGGAGGAAGGAAGAGTAGAGATGGATCTGTGGCAGTGTCAGCAACCTATGTGGCTACCTGTGTGTGGAAAGCAAAGAGCAACATGTATCTGAATTTTTATTTGCAATCTTCTTGCAGGTAACCTTCCCAGAGATAGTGTTGCCAAATTGAAATGTCCTTTTTACATGTATATATTATATAATAACTAGGTCTAGGAAGGTTGATCAAAATGTAGATTTTTCTTAAAGAGAAATAGAAGGACCAAAATCTAGGTCAGAAGGGGAAAAGACTTAAAAGGAAAAGTATCCAGTTTATCATATAGTCCTGCCAAATGCTCAAACTTAAAACCATTAGGATCAGAAACTTGTAGCTGTTTAGTGCAAAAATCAGGCCAGCATCCTCAATATGTCACTTTTTTTTTTTTAACTATGGGAGAATGGGACACGACAAAAATAAAATACAAATTGAGTTGGCCAAACTTTTTATTCCCATTTAAGTGGAAATCTGTAAGAGCTGATTGATTATAGCTCACCAAATATGAAAATACATCATTCAGTTTGACTTCTGAAAATTTGGCCGCTTGATAGTACGGTATTTTGGTGGTCATCGGTCTGTCATTTCATCATCTAAAATGATTTTGTAACCAGATGTTTGACATTATGTAAATATTACTTTAAAACAGTTTAAATCAGTTTCTTTATGATACAACTGAGTGTGTGAAAGAATTCTTTAAAATAGTAGGAAATTAGCTTTGGTTTGCCTTGGCTTGAGGTTATTTTATTATTTTTATTTCAGAGCACTTGAGTTAGTTAAACTGGGCTACCAGTGATTCTTTCGTGATTTCTGAAAATGTAAGTCAGTTAATAACTACAGTAACTGTTCTTTAAACCGATTATTGAGATATAGGATTAACTGAGATTTGGGATGCCACTTTAGATCATTAGTGACATTGGAATTTTGGAATTTATTTATGGGAATAGAGAGAAGTCGTGAGCATGTTTT